TTTTTTTTTTTTTTTTTGTGCTTATTTCTCAAGGTTGTGCTGTCTTCCTGTCTTTGGTACCATGCAAGAATTTTTAAACTTTTGGAAGAATTTCTCTGGAAGAGTCAAATCCATACATTTCTGAAATATCTAATATTTCAAATGTCTCCATAATTTTTATTAAATATGTAATACTTTCCCTTGCTCTCGGTATCTTCTGCTTAGATAAGTTGTCCAAATATTTATGATCATTTCTAAGGGTGCCTGTACACAAGTGAGGAGGCTACTCCGATGCTCTGTAATTACAGCGAGTCAGTAGACTCTAATCTAGTCTGCTGGAGTGTGGTAATTACTGTACTCCAGCAGCCTCCCGCATCTCTTGTATCAGCATCTCTGTGCTTAAAAATGGCAGTGGGGGTGCTTGACCTAAAGCTCATTTAGCTAGTTCATGTGCCCCCACTGCCATTTAAGCTCAGGGACACTGATACATGAGACACTGCAGTGCTTTAATTGTAGCAGCTCCAATTAAAGCACTCCCCCCTCTCCCCCACATATGCTGCTGGAGCATGTGTAAAAGTGCCCCAAGATACTAGTTAGATCTAATTTAGCTCAAGACTTCCAACTTCAAATAAAAAATTGCCCCAACTTTTCTAAGGGGCTGTGAAGGAAAGCATGCTCAGTGGAATTCCTTCTTAGAGTACAGCTGTAACTTTCATTTATACTTTCTGGCAGAAAACCCAGATGAAGAATATCTAACTGTCAGAAAGAAGTTTAATTAGGAGGTTGTTTTAAATCTATAATACTTCAGAATTAAGTAAGACCTCATTTTCTAGCAACTTATCATCAAAAGCCTGATGTCTAATTTGAAACAATTGATTTTGCTAAGGTCTTAGGCATTAAGTATTGATTCCTGTTAAAGGGACACACCTTGTGCTCAGGAATTAAAATGCTTGTAAAATAATGTTCATAATGTAAGAGAAAATCTAAAGATATCAAAACACAGCAGATTTTTCAATATTATTTTTCTGTGGGGGGGGAAATAACCCCACAAACCTACTGCAAGCCTAGAGTCAAGTCCCATTTTTTTAAAAAAAAATTAGATTCTTTAATTCATAACTGTTGCACTTGGGAGTCATCTGAAGGGAAAAAAGATCCACTTAACAACAAAAACAAACATGTATTACTTAATCAGGATGTGTGAATTGAATCTGTACCTATGTGTAAATGGCAATGCATTCTGGGTTGGTTCAGCCCTTGGTTCTGAGTTTTGTGTCACTTCTGGAGTTGTTCTTTCATCATCTGTTCCATTAATACTTTCTGGTGTTAAAGGAGACTGAATATCCCCTCCTGCTGATTCCTTAAGTAAAGAAAAAAATAGAATTATACATTGAACTTTTTTCACAATGTGCACACACAAACTAACCAAATTAACATAAGTGAATGGTTATTAATTTTAAGGTGATGTTAAGGTGAGGCTCCCCGAAACCATCCATCTTTTTCTATAAAGTCCTATGGTTTATACACAGAGTATGCATTAACATGCAACACACAGTCTCCTGCTTTTTGTTTTCAGGAACTCTTTTTCTGCCCTCGTTTTCTCTTTAAAGTTGGTACAGACTTAGCTGTTGGCATTTCTTCATACCCACAACTACAACTGTTACCTTTTATCTTATATTCTAACAGTATGGCAAATTGCCTCACTTGAGGATCATCATCTCACTACAAATGGAAATTAAAGGTGGAAGCATCATTGTTGGTACAATCGCATCTTTGCCTGCACAATGAAATTAGAGCTTCACGTAAGCTTACCTGCAGTCCTTCCTCAATCCGAGTTGCCTACCCTAACTCATACTGGCTAAGACACCTTGATTACATAGGAGCTCACTTAATTCCCCCAGGCAGGTTCCATTACTGTTAGGTTCCTGGACTCCTGACCATGTTTAAAACTTATCTTCTAGGGGAGTGAACTAATACTATTTGCATCATGCTGTACTATACCATTGAGAGCATTTCTGTTCTCCTGTAAGCAAACAGTACTTGCTTCTCTCTCCTGTCTGGGTGAGAAACAGCAGTAGCTATTATTTAAGCCCCTGGGATGAAGTAGAAGATCTGGAGATGCTTCCCCATAGGCCACATCCAGACAAGCAGGGACATTCAGTATGTAGTGCCACAGACCGATCTATGACGCCACACTGCATATGCAGGAGGCATTCCCTGCACTACTACCTTGCAGCATGGGTTGGGTTTTTTTTGTTTGTTTGTTTTTTTACTCTGGGAGATAGAAATGTGCCTTTTATGGCTGTGTCCACATGAGCACAGGTGTTAGTTTCCCCAGGCACAAGGTGTGCTCCTGCTACTTGTCCCCAGGGAAACAAATGCCTGTGCTCCTGTGGACGTGGCCATAAAAAAAAAATTTCCATCTTCCACTTCCACTCAGTGTTCTGTACAAAACTGAGCTAAATTAAGCTCAATGGGAATCAAAGTGATAACCTTAAAGAAACCTCAAAACAACTGTTTTAAATACATGAGCCTTTTTGAGCTGCTACTTTCGAATCCAAGATACTCAATTTCAGGTTTTGAGACTTGAATCAGACAAAAAAAAAAGCTCCCACACCATTGTTTTTAATAAAACTGAAAGGGATATTTTCCTTCCCCACAGGAAAGATATTATTTATGTCAAACCCTCAAGGTCAGAACTGTACTTTGCTGTCAGTTTTACTTTATTGCAGGGCCAACAGTGTAGTAAAGTATTTAATCATTTTTGATTTACATACATAGTGTTCACCTCTTATTCAGTGACTTGTATTAGTGGGGTGATGTGGACTAATTTTAAAAAAAGATAAATTTAGAAACACTCGCCTCATGTTTATGTTCTGTTACATGCTTGCAAAATGACAAAAACATATATAGAAGGAAGGCCATTCCACCTAGTGGTTGGACTAGGTGGTCACCTAGGATGCCAAAATTAAATGCAGAACAAAAAAAACCCAGGAACATCATTCTAAATAACAGCCCTGGCCGGCCACACCTCCACCTGGGACTAAGACCTTTGCTTCGGTAAGGGGAAAAAGATCTCAGAGGAAAGATCACTAGAAGATGAACCCCTACTCCTCTATCATCTTATAGCTTTATTTTTGTCTATATTGGAAGTGGTGGGGGTGCCAAGGTACATAGTTCGCCTAGGGTGCCAATTACCCTTGGATCGGCCCTGCATAGAAGTCTCTCTCTCACGTCATCATACCCAAGTCCAGAATGGAAGATAATTGGTTCATATAATAGGGAATAACTGCTAGTTTCTTTCAATGCTGATGTTAAAATTTTGTAATCCAAACTACATTGTTTGTACTCTAAGGCCAGGTACAGACATTATACAAAATTGGCATAAATGACCAAAAATGGTCTTCACCCATAAAAGAACAGAAGTCTGGTGCTGATAGACTGGTTTAAAAATGGCAGAACCTAGTCTAAGATAGACCTAGATCAATGAGGTATCAGACTTAAATCGGTTTACACTAGACTGACCTATCAAACTTCTGTACCAGATCCGTTATTGATTCATGTTAGGTCACTGTCCTCTGGCGCTGCCTTTATGGCCCCCTCCTCCCACTAACCTTCCCTCATGGAGATGCACTGGCACTTGCTGGGTACTCAGCTGCTCTGGGCTGTCACAGATCTGAGTCAGCACAGACAAAGGCAGTCAGTGGTGTGGGGGGGAGGGGAAGACACCCCCCTCTTGCCTTTCATACAGCCTCACCTCTCCAGCAATTGGCAGAGAGGGGTGGAGCTGCATGACAGACAACCCTCACAACCAATCTGTGGTGAAGGGTGAGGCCACTGGGCCCCCTTGGCCAGAGGCATAAGGAGCCCCAGGCATGATAAGCCCTTGAAAATGGCAGCTGGCCCCATGATCTGTTTGCAAAAATCAGCTGGCTGCCTCCTCAAGTTGTATAGACCCCTACATATTATGTTATCCTATGTAAAATAATTAGTTAGCCAAAACGTTGTTCTTCACTAGACAAATCAACTTCAGCTGAAGTTAAATGGAATTGTGCAGGCATATCTGGAGCTAGAATTTAGTCTAAACATTTTTTTTAAATTACCTCAAAAGTACCTTAAAAGTGACTTAAAGCAATCTTCAAACTTTCAGCTAGAACTAGTTTAGGACTTGTTTTGAAATAAAAACACATTGGGCACATATACATATACCGTTTAAGATACTTTAGCCCAATTTAAGCTGTATTAAGGGCACATGTCTACACATGCGTGCCCTTAGTGCACCTTAAAAATGGCAATTTTAGTCTATTCATGCCTAAATTTGATACCAGCAAAAACAGGTATCAAATTTAAGTTCAAATACCTAAAATGCATGTAGATGCAAATCGTGTTGACAAATTAATATAAACAAGCCTCCTTTTGACTGGTGCAGCCAAACCATCATTGCACATGAATCCATGACAGAATACTGATAGACTAAAAGAATAGATCAGCTCCTACTGGGTATTATTCTACTCTGTATTCCAACAAAATACAAAAATGTGTGCTCTCACGTAGTTAGAACCACCATTAAACTTTAATTATTTACCTTAAGGTAATTTTACTGAAAGGATAAGAAATTCTTTCTTGCCTTTGGAAGCAAAGAACATTTCTAAGATGACTTTTAAAATTGTTACCTCTTTAATTAGTAGCCACTCTAATTAAAGGCCCCCCTCACACTCTCCAGAGCATGTATAAAAGTGCCCTATGAAGGCAAGTCAAATTGCCACATACAGGACTGACTTTTGAAAAGTATAATTGATATAATGTGATCAGTAAAACAAATTGTATTGGAGAAGAAATATTTTAAAAATTTAATATAAAATCCAAATATATTGTATACAAAGAAAACATAGAATAATGGTATGCAGGCTTTATTGGTCCTTGTTTGTATACTCGCACTACAAAAATAAAAAAATTCTACTGAATGCTTCCACAGTTTTTTTTTTCCCCCCAAAAGAATGAAGACTTGATTTTACTTAACTGACCTCATACAGAAAAAAAGAAAAAACTGACTATTTTTTTTAGGGGTTTTTTTGTTTTGTTTTTTTTTAAAGAAAACTATAACATTATTTAAGATTTCTACAAATCATTATTACTTTAAAGGCTGCAGGTGGGTGAATACTAAAAATAAGGGGGGGGAATCCTTTAACAGAGTAGGAAACATTCTTAGCTCTCCAGTGGTATAAAACACTATTTCCCAGTAACAATAGCTTGGAGTATATTGGACCTTAAACTCACTAGTCCAGGACTTAATGCTGTTTCTCAGCTCATGCCACATACAAGTTTCCAGGGATACTTAAGAGATGCAGCATCAAAAATGGCCCTAATAAAGATAATTAATGGGTAGAAAGAAAATGCTGCTATCAAAAGTGTATAGCAAGGACAATTTATTATCAATATAACTAATATACAATTGGTATAAATATACATACTAAAAACATAATTGTTAGACTTCATAATTTTTGGTATAATATAGGCATAGGCTTCACACAATACTACGTACTATCTGCTTATATTTAGTACATCTATTGAAAGTGAAAAATACTTGACTGACAGGATAACTGAATTTCACATTACTTTGCTTAAAAAAAAAAATTTAAAAAATCCTATCCAACTGTATATAAAAAAACCACTATGCAGGACACCTGTATTTACTCAACTACAACATGAGACTTCCCCCCCCCACCCCACAGGTGAGTGTTCCTTCCAAAAGGAACTGGCACTGGATCTGGAGGTACTGCAATACCAGACCAGCACCAGGAGGGCCAGAGTCAGCCCTGACACCCTCCCCTTGGTACCAAAAATGCTACATCTAATCAAAATACAGTGTAACGCCCATTGTTCTCAGTCCTCCTTGGCACCAACTCTTTCAAATCACAGTGAACCATTACATGAAATACCTCTCTTTCCCATTTCCAATGATTCTTGTTTCTTCAGAAGCTTTAAAATTTCTGGCAAACATCACAAAACTTTGATACAGTCAAGAGGCTCTATCGCCCCCTCTGTCAGCCTGTCGCATGCGATTAGCAGGGATTCAGATTTTCTGTTTCCCACAGAAACAAAACACACAGATTTTCCTATTTTATCAGAGGAAAAAAACAGATTTTCTCTTTTAGCAGAGAAACCTGTGGGTTTCCCGCTTTTGCAAAGAGCTCTGCAGGCTGGCTGAGTTCCAGCTTGCAAGAGCTAATTGCAAAAAGGGCGGTCAACCCCCAGCACTGACCGCAGAGGGAGGGAGAGGAGGAAAAGGGCTCTTAGACACCCAAGGCTTGGCTCAGGCTCACTCTCCTTCCTGGAGCCTGGGAAGTAAGTGGGGTTTGC